AACCCTATTCTCCAGACACTGTCGAACGCTTTCTCAAAATCTATGAAAGCACAATACATACGGTTTTTGAATTGTTTTGAAAGTTGAATTAAAGAGTATAAAGAAAATATATGATCTATAGTAGAATGTTGCCTACGAAAACCTGCTTGGTTTTCAAGTATAAGTTCGACATTGTCTGCATATGTATTTAGACGCTCATTAATTACAGCTGTAAATAGTTTACCTAGGCAACTGACCAGTGTGATTGGTCTATAGTTTTTAGCGTCATACATATCACCTTTATTTTTAAACACGGGGATAATATTACCCATAAGCCATGCTTCTGGTACATTACCAGAATCAAGTATATAGTTAAACATTTTAACATATAATGGAAGCATTATGTCAGTAGTTGATTTGATATATTCATTACATACTAAATCATCACCAACAGCCTTATTAGATTTCAATCTATTGACACATTTCAAAATTTCACTTGGAGTAATTGGACCATTTATAAAGGTATTAGTTTCAAGGTTAGACAACTCTTTGAGTTCATCAAGGGACAGTATATGATTGTCATCACCATCAAAATCATTATTGAAACTTTTGCTAAAAAAGTCAAAAAGATCATCGATATTTGCCTTACATGTGTTTTTCTTTGGAGCACCCTTATTTATTATTTTCCAATATTCTTTCGGATTTCTAGTCCTCAGATTTTTTAATTTGCTTTTAATCTGAGTTTTATGATTCTTGACAGCAGTGCTCAGTGTTTTATGATATTTACGCTCCTTATCATATAAGTCCTCTTTTAAACTTATTTCCCCATACCTTTTATAAAATCTTTTGGCTTTTCTGTAATTTTGTCGAGCAGATTTACATTCTTTGGTAAACCATGTTTTTTTTAAATTGAAATTATTTTTAGTGCGGTTATTGGGTTGGGTATTTCCAAAAGCATGTTTGGCAGCACCGATGAAAATTTCACATAATTTATGTACAGTGTCATTAATAAAATCCAAATTTACAACATTCTCAGTGTCATCCATACCATCAATAATGCTATCTATATATAGTTTTCTATCAGCCACATGTTTTACAAAAATATCTTTCGAATCAGTATTCCATCTCTTTGGTCTTGATAAAAACCTCTGACCTTCAGAATCAACAGGATTAACTGGTCATACCATATCGGACACTGCATTCCAACCGCATGATGTGTTGGAGCTTGAAGGCTTTAATCCCTTTCTTGTTCCTAGATCAGCCTGTAGAGGAGGAGGCATTGTTATATTATACATATCTGATTTGTGTAACAAAGTTAATACTGTTGACAATATTCATGATAGTATTATATGGGTGAATTTGATATGTCAGGTACTTCAAAGAACCATATATTTTTTGCATTTTGTTACATTCCTCCTTAATTTTTTTTTTATATGGGGAGTCAGACAAGGATATCTTTCCTTGCTCTATTTGTATAGAGTTAACGATATAAAATAATGTTCCTTCTTATTTTGGCAAAGCAATCCATAGTGTCCCACCAGTAATGATTTTCAGTATTTTGGTAACTGACATACTTCATGTACTCCCTCCCCATGCCAATACATACTTGTATACCAAATACTGTCAGCCCAGATGAACCAGTTTTGCTGAAATCTTCCTACTAGTGAATGAAGAGACGAAGATTTTAAATAAAGGGCCGTAAATCCTTAAAAATGGTCGAAATATAAAAATAAAATAAAAAATATACTACCCAGATGGCGTGCATCAGGGGGTATTACCAATCAGTATGCTTTCATTGAAATCGGCCCAGTTGTTAATGAGGAAGATAAAGTTTGTTTCCAAAAAAGGGCCATAACTCCTTTTTAAAGGGTCGGAATGAAAACATACTACTTGGATGCACAACATCAGGGGACAGTTACCATATCCGTTGAAATTGGCCACATAGTTTTGAAGGAGTTATCTGGACATATATTTTCAACAAAGGGCCATTTCTCTGTAAAAAAATGGCCAGGTTGAAAAAATAATACCTGGATTCACACCATCAGGTGGTAGTTATAATATATGAAAAGTTTAATTCAAAATTGACCCCTTTCTGGACACGGATTTTTCAACAAGGGCCATAACTTTGTAAAAAAAAGAAGAAGATCAGAATGAAAAAATAATATCTGGATGCACAACTTCGGGTGGTAGCTATCATATTTGGAAACTTTCGTTGAAATTGGTCCTTTTCTTTCAAAGGAGTTGTCCGGACAATTTTTTTTCTACGGACGGACAAGCTGATTCCAGTATACCTCTCTGACTTCGTTGCTGGGGTTACAACAAAGTGTTTAATAGATTTACTATTGACATTATTTTATTGTTTTTATGTACAGTAATTGAATATCTTTGTCTATAACACAATCTCAACCTCAAGTAGGTCTCTAGAGGAAAGATTACTTTGGCAGAATACATATTCATGACTTATTAAGTTGCACATAACTTTAAAACATGCTTATATGATAAAGTGTTTTGGTATGATACAAAAACAGAAAATGTATCGGTATTTACCATAATAAACATTGATAATCAAATCTCCGTGGTTTTGTCAAATTGGGCATCGATCATGTTTGACATGCTAAAACAGTACTTTACCGGTCTTGAAATTACATAAAAATCATTCTGTTAACAGAATATATATATGGAAAGTTTTTAAAGAAGTTTCAAATATAGACTACCATTGTAACTATACATAGGCAAGTTGACAATGTTGGTTACATTTTAAATGTTTGAAACATTTGCATGTTTTCCAATAGGACATATTTAGTATCAAAATAACAGTAATTTTATACGCTATACACTATCATAATTCATTTCCAAAATTACATTCGCCTGTGGCATTTATCTGTCTTTTTGTTAGGATACCCCCGTCATTCAACCTGGTGTTGTACAAAGAGGTCCACTACGGTTATCAGTAATAATAATGAATAATCATTTATGCAGTTATTGTTCATTTTTATGTATCTACATATGACAAAAATATAAAAGAAATCGAAGTGGGGACCAAATGTTGACCCAACCTTTAGGATATCGTCTCATGAATTAAATATAGAAATTGGAAGACATCATAACGTCACACGCAGAAACAGGATTTGTAACAAATGTAATTTGTCCATTTTATAGCGATCTCATGCACAGATTATTCAAACAAATTTATTACAGAAAACCCTCGATTTTTAAATTAAACAACTACTGAGTATGAATGATGTTAGAAAGCCATCCGAGTAGGAAAATATTTAAATTTAGCATTTAAGAGGCGTTACTTTAAGTCTAAATTGGCTAACCTGGTCGGGTACGGCCTTGGTCTGAAAGGCCGATTGCTATGAATGACATATGTCACTCAAACGTATAATGTTTACTACACCATAGGACCATATCGTCCATGTAGTCATACTTACAGTAAGTATACTACACCATAGGACCATATCGTCCATGTAGTAATCATTACAGTAAGTATACTACACCATAGGACCATATCGTCCATGTAGTAATCATTACAGTAAGTATACTACACCATAGGACCATATCGTCCATGTAGTAATCATTACAGTAAGTATACTACACCATAGGACCATATCGTCCATGTAGTAATCATTACAGTAAGTATACTACACCATAGGACCATATCGTCCATGTAGTAATCATTACAGTAAGTATACTACACCATAGGACCATATCGTCCATGTAGTAATCATTACAGTAAGTATACTACACCATAGGACCATATCGTCCATGTAGTAATCATTACAGTAAGTATACTACACCATAGGACCATATCGTCCATGTAGTAATCATTACAGTAAGTATACTACACCATAGGACCATATCGTCCATGTAGTAATCATTACAGTAAGTATACTACACCATAGGACCATATCGTCCATGTAGTAATCATTACAGTAAGTATACTACACCATAGGACCATATCGTCCATGTAGTAATCATTACAGTAAGTATACTACACCATAGGACCATATCGTCCATGTAGTAATCATTACAGTAAGTATACTACACCATAGGACCATATCGTCCATGTAGCAATCATTACAGTAAGTATACTACACCATAGGACCATATCGTCCATGTAGTCATACTTACAGTAAGTATACTACACCATAGGACCATATCGTCCATGTAGTAATCATTACAGTAAGTATACTACACCATAGGACCATATCGTCCATGTAGTCATACTTACAGTAAGTATGCTACACCTACCGTTGAGTAGATGTAACTCCATATAAATATATACAAAAGTAAACAAATGACACAATGAGTGTTCAGTCAGGGTTTCAGGTTTTTGTACTCCACCCTTAATTTAGTTATTGCCCTCCTTAGGGTCAGTCCGTTCTCGAGTATAAATTTGGATCTTAATTACCTAAGGTTCATTTCATAGAACGTAGGTGAATGTCCAACAGTAAATTTCAAAGACGTCATTCGAATGTTCCACCACTACCGAAAGAAACCCTCGAGGATAATGCCCTTTTACTTCATCTTCTCATCTAAATTCAGTAGCAACAGGTTTGGTACCGTGTAGACTCTGGATTCCCCCAGTGCGTGGCAGGTCCAATATGTAAGATCGAAGAGCAAGAGTCATTTAGGTTGGCCATCAGACTATTTGTGACGACCGACACCATAGCTTACCTCCCTATCACATCAGAGGACAGCAATAAAACCCTAAAGGAGATCATTGGAGCGTTGGTCAGGTATAATGTAGAATGTCGCGACCACCAATACATGCTTCAATTACACAACGTTGAATTTCCTCAATGAGGGATGTTCTGTAACAATCTTTGTTACAGTTCCCTTTTAAGTAGTCTTTCAAGGATGGTCACACCTAGAGCTCTGTTAGCTAAAATCTGCTTAAATCTGCAGCCAAATATCTAATTTCCTTTGTAGATCCTTCGACTACAACAGGATTACTTTCAATAATCTAACAGTAGAATTGTTTTAGAAGAGATATACAACATTAAACACATTTTACATCAAAACTTTATTAATACCATATAAGAATTATAAGGAAAACCAACCATTTTATATAAACGCTTACACAAAATATCTCATTGAGACCAAGATGAAAATGATAAGAAATAACACTTCATATCTGGAGTGGATCCACAAGGCGGTTTATGACCAAGAAAAGGCTACAGATGTAATGTAGGGAATATAAAGTTATACAAGATTGAATGAACACCATTGTTAGCCGACATTTCTTACCACATAACGTGATTGAAACTTATTCATATAAGTAAAATATACCATGTGCCCTCCCAACTACACCCTTATTATTACTATTCTACACCGGCTTTGACTTACAGGTCTTGTTGTTGAACAGGTAACAGCAGCTGACTGTATACTTTGACAATGAATTAGAGCAATGTATATAGCCTTTACTTAGTGTTGCTGAGGTAAAATACTTAATATAACTATAACGTCAAATGCTGCAACAATTGATTCCATCCATGCATATCCTGCTATATCAATTTCAAGCACTTCTCTACTTTCAGACTCCCATCCACTAAAGGTTTCACCCACAGAGCAGACAAGCTCACATTCATCATTACCTTAACAGGTTCACCAGAGGAGTACGCCGCCATTGTCTACATTTAATATTTGTTCACGAGGAAATGATTCATGCCTGCAACAGCTGACGTGACCAAATGTGTTTAAACACACTCCACATTCACTGCAAAAAAATCTAATAGAATAATAAATATAATATACTGATAACAGAATCACAGAAATAATAATCCAAAGGAAATACACACCTGAGTATTAGCCATTTAACACTAACACCTTATTTCTATAAACAGTAGCTCAACACTATCACACCTTATTTCTATAAACAGTAGCTCAACACTATCACACCTTATTTCTATAAATAGTAGCTCAACACTATCACACCTTATTTCTGTGTTGGTACTGTTCTAGTACATTTAGGGTACCAGTCATATTTAGATAGCCTTGGTGTACTGGTCACGTCTGTTAGCTGTGATGTTGTAAATCTATTGTACCAGTCGTACTTAGATAGCCTTGGTGTACTGGTCACGTCTGTTAGCTGTGATGTTGTAAATCTATTGTACCAGTCGTACTTAGATAGCCTTGGTGTACTGGTCACGTCTGTTAGCTGTGATGTTGTAAATCTATTGTACCAGTCGTACTTAGATAGCCTTGGTGTACTGGTCACGTCTGTTAGCTGTGATGTTGTAAATCTATTGTACCAGTCGTACTTAGATAGCCTTGGTGTACTGGTCACGTCTGTTAGCTGTGATGTTGTAAATCTATTGTACCAGTCGTACTTAGATAGCCTTGGTGTACTGGTCACGTCTGTTAGCTGTGATGTTGTAAATCTATTGTACCAGTCGTACTTAGATAGCCTTGGTGTACTGGTCACGTCTGTTAGCTGTGATGTTGTAAATCTATTGTACCAGTCGTACTTAGATAGCCTTGGTGTACTGGTCACGTCTGTTAGCTGTGATGTTGTAAATCTATTGTACCAGTCGTACTTAGATAGCCTTGGTGTACTGGTCACGTCTGTTAGCTGTGATGTTGTAAATCTATTGTACCAGTCGTACTTAGATAGCCTTGGTGTACTGGTCACGTCTGTTAGCTGTGATGTTGTAAATCTATTGTACCAGTCGTACTTAGATAGCCTTGGTGTACTGGTCACGTCTGTTAGCTGTGATGTTGTAAATCTATTGTACCAGTCGTACTTAGATAGCCTTGGTGTACTGGTCACGTCTGTTAGCTGTGATGCTGTAAATCTATTGTACCAGTCGTACTTAGATAGCCTTGGTGTACTAGTCACGTCTGTTAGCTGTGATGCTGTAAATCTATTGTACCAGTCGTACTTAGATAGCCTTGGTGTACTAGTCACGTCTGCTAGCTGTGATGCTGTAAATCTATTGTACCAGTCGTACTTAGATAGCCTTGGTGTACTAGTCACGTCTGTAAGCTGTGATGTTGTAAATCTATTGTACCAGTCGTACTTAGAAGGCCTTGGTGTACTAGTCACATCTGTTAGCTGTGATGCTGTAAATCTATTGTCCCAGTCGTACTTAGATAGCCATGGTGTACTGGTCACGTCTGTTAGCTGTGATGCTGTAAATCTTTTGTACCAGTCGGACTTAGATAGCCTTGGTGTACTGGTCACGTCTGTCAGCTGTGATGTTGTAAATTTATTGTACCACTCGTACTTAGATAGCCTTGGTGTACTGGTCTCGTATGTTAGCTGTGATGCTGTAAATCTATTGTACCAATCGTACTTAGATAGTCTTGGTGTACAGGTCACGTCTTTTAGCTGTGATGTTGTTAATCTATTGTACCAGTCGTACTTAGATATCCTTGGTGTACTAGTCACGTCTGTAAGCTGTGGTGTTGTAAATCTATTGTACCAGTCGTACTTAAGTAGCCTAGGTGTACTAGTCACGTCTGTTAGCTGTGATGCTGTAAATCTTTTGTACCAGTCGGACTTAGATAGCCTTGGTGTACTGGTCACGTCTGTCAGCTGTGATGTTGTAAATCTATTGTACCAGTCATATTTAGATAGCATTGGTGTACTAGTCATGTCTGTTAGCTGTGATGCTGTAAATCTTTTGTACCAGTCGTACTTAGATAGCCTTTGTGTACTGGTCTCGTCTGTTAGCTGTGATGTTGGAAATCTATTGTACCAGTCGTACTTAGAAGGCCTTGGTGTACTAGTCACATCTGTTAGCTGTGATGCTGTAAATCTATTGTCCCAGTCGTACTTAGATAGCCTTGGTGTACTGGTCCCGTCTGTTAGCTGTGAGCTGTAAATCTATTGTACCAGTCAGTGGGTCAGTCTTGATGCTAGAGTTGAATATCTAGTTGTAAGTGTATAAGTTAAGCCTTGGTGTACTGGTCACGTCTGTTAGCTGTGATGCTGTAAATCTATTGAACCAGTCATACTTAGATACCCTTGGTGTACTGGTCACGTCTGTTAGCTGTGATGCTGTAAATCTATTGAACCAGTCATACTTAGATACCCTTGGTGTACTGGTCACGTCTGTTAGCTGTGATGCTGTAAATCTTTTGTACCAGTCGTACTTAGATAGCCTTGGTATACTGGTCACGTCTGTTAGCTGTGATGTTGTAAATCTATTGTACCAGTCGTACTTAGATAGCCTTGGTGTACTGGTCTCGTCTGTTAGCTGTGATGCTGTAAATCTATTGTACCAGTCAGTGGGTCAGTCTTGATGCTAGAGTTGAATATCTAGTTGTAAGTGTATAAGTTATCTGGGTTAGTTTTGTTGCAGATGTAGAAAATCTAGTACATCAGTCATGTTGGTTAACCTGTGTGCTGAAGTAGAAAAAAACTGTACTATGTACACCATGAAGTACATAATCTACCACATAACCTACCACAGAAAGTAAAGATAAGCCCATTCAAACATCTCACAGATATAAATAAAACAAGGCACCTGTTTGAACTAGAATATGAACACCAACAAACTTTAAGTATGTCTTTGACGATAAGAAGCTTCGATTTTGCCCATGTCAAAAAACCATTAGATTGTTTTTTTTTTGTATGCACACCAAACAGTACATAAGAACCATGTACAACCACAACATAAGTTTACTACATCAAACATTGACATGCAAACCAAATCAGTCATCCTTGTTTCTCAATATCTTATATACCTGGTGTCTAGGGAGACCACTGGTTTTAAAAGAAAGTGCAAATTGGGTTGAAAATATTACATACTCAAATTACAGCAGTGTTCAAAAATATATTGTGTGAATTAAGATGATGCTTTCAATGATAAAAATGTTAGAATGAGAGGGTCCTTACAGTACTTTCTTCTTGATAAAACTCTGTCACATAATTATAAGGTAGTATAAATCTATATGTAAAGAGCTATTTTCTAACTATTGATCTAAATCATGTCGGGTCCAGAAAAAACTCCTGTCCACCAGTAACTGTATTTTCACAAGAAGTTTCAAACAGTCCAGGTATGTTGTGTGCCCAGCGAGACTGACATCAACTCTCACCATTTCATGTATCAACTCGTTATGGTTCAGGTACTGAATAATGTTCATAGATGTTTTCCACAAAATGAGTAAATATCTTCAAATAATCAAATGAACTCTGACATTTGAGAAAATATAGGAATCTTCAACTGATAGGCACATTTCATCCTGTTTACAGGATATCTAATAACAATATGGAAACCCCTGATTTGGAGGTCATTGTGGATGAATTTTGTATATCCAACTGTCATAACTTAACCTTAGCTTGCATTACCAACATAGCAGATTGCATTTTGGCACCTGACCAATGTCTATTGATAGGTCAAATTGACCAGTGCCAATGGAGAGGTGAACTTAACAAATGTCCATTGAACATGTAATACTGACCAATGTCCATTGATAGGTCAAATTGACCGGTGCCAATTGAGAGGTGAACTTAACAAATGTCCAATGAACATGTAATACTGACCAATGTCCATTGTGAGGTAAATGTGGTAATCAGCACTGACGTGAATATATTTTCATTTCATTAATAGAATTAATCATGAAATCAATATGGTGAATATGTTTTCCTCAAAGTTCCCAATACTCAATCCTATTTTCTCTTGTACAGTGATGGAATTAATTGTAGAATAAAAAAGAGACAATGAAAAAATGAAGCTTGAAAACATGTAATAAGGAATGAAGATAATTCTTACGGCAAAAAAAGAAATAGTGAAGCTAAAACAGTACATAAATGTATATAAATAAAACACCTTCAAAATCATACAATTAAAGTAAATACGTAGGATTCTCACTACAATTAATTACTGGCACAAAATCTGGAAATCTTGCTGATTTTTACAAATATTAAGCTTCCCTGATGAAAACAGTGTAATAAGGTATTCCGTTACATCTATATGAAACAATAAGTTATTTGGGTACATTTAGATGAAGTAATAAGGTATTCCGTTACATCAATATGAAACAATAGGTTATTTGGGTACATTTAGATGAAGTAATAAGGTATTCCGTTATGTCAGCTGTAAACATCAACCTTAGTGACAAATTTTAAATCCAGTTATTTTTGTTATTGAATATATTAAAACAGACCTTATGCTGGTACTGTAAGCCTATTGGACATATGTCAGTGAGGATCCACAAGTAACATGCGCTATGATTAATACCCAAGCTATCTGTAGCTGTTATTTTTTAAGCGTTATTAACACATTCACCCCTGAAGACACATTTGAACACTTCCAATTCAAAGGTTGGAATAGTCCATTATGAAATTTCAGGGGTGAATGAGTTATTTAGTGCTTTCTGAATTAGCATGAAAAATGCAAAGAATATTATTACTGTTATAATAAGTATGGAAGTACCTAACTTTGTATCCTGCTGTAGTACTTAATTCAAAATGTGTAAGGTCTATTACAAATTCAAAGAGGTAGCTGAATGTTTGAGCATTTATTAACCTATAATTTTACCTTTATCACAAATACATGTATTATCATATTTGCAATTTCCCTACAACTGACAGGTGTACTGTGTTGGAGTGTCAACATTTTATCATTGTAATTTTCATCACTTGTCTTGTTAATACAGTGTAAGTTTCAACACATATGGATCAGGTTTGGGGTCAAACTCTATAAGAAATCCTGGTGTACAAAAATGATACAAATAATAAAAGGGCAGACTTTTCTCTGTGTTCAAGTTAGATGTTTTCAGTTTTGTTTTTAACATGTTTAAACGTAAACTGATGTGCCAATAATTATAAGGACACGTTTCAGTAATTTTTCCAGGTTCCTAATTTGCTCATTTTAAATTTCTTGTTTTTGTAAATTTCAATTTGAAATTAATTAAGATAATACCTGAGTTTAATTAGTTGTATCACAGAGAATGAAGAATAACTTAAATATAAAGGCGGTAATTTATGTCCCTGAATACTGAATGATATCTGATAGTCATCGCTTCTTCTTCCCTATCTTTAATCCTTTCCCAAACCAGCCCGGTACTGACAGGCTGCGACACAGGTTAGGTTTCTTTGTAGTTGAGGTGGGATCTGTGTTATCCTCGCTATCTATAACAGTATCCTGAGAGGTTTTGCTGCGCTTATGACAGACTTTTGGCACACATGTGGTATCCGAGTCCTGTGGTGTAAGTAGTAACATGTTCTGTCCCACCACTGCCGTAGGTGACTGTTCAGGTATATCTGTAGTACTCAACACTGCCTCTGTAGGTCGAGAGCGGGAAGCACTTGCATTGTTTAGGGAAGGCCTTTTCTCAAAATGGGTCTCCCTCTTCCCAGGAGAGTTCAGGGAACTTGTTGGTGCATTGTCTTTCTTGGCCGGTTGCTCACTTTTGGGGGAAAGTTTTTGCATCTGGTCCTTATTGAGGTAGCAGTGGTCTTTGAGCACATAGTCAATCTTGTTACCGGGCTGAAAGACTTGGGGAATACATGGATGTGGCCATAAACTGGGATGGAGTGGACGTAACTGCATCAGTCTGGGATCCTCCATTATATGTAGACCCAGACAGGACATGTAGTGTAGTGGCAAACTTGGTATACCCTGAGTTTGAAGATTTAGACTTGGCACTGGAGAACAACTACATAATGATCCTATAGTTCGGAAGGTAGCACATTTTGGACATTGACCAATCAATTCATGCTGTGAAATACGGCTTTCATTGATGGAAGCTCGAGATTGGTCTAATCTCAAAGTCCCACTCAGCGGACCAGATGTGGACAAATCTAATGGGAAGGACATTGATTCGTGTGACGGACTTGATATGGTGCAAGGAAGATTATTGGAAGATATCGTCTGCATTGGGATATGTAACCTGGACTTAATATTGCTGAAGTTTACTTCAGCTGTGCACTCTTTCTTCAGGATTCCATTCAAAGGGGAGATAACTCCTGATAGCTGCATTTTTGTATCATCTCCAGAAGCTGAAAACACTGTACTTTCTGTCCTCATCTTCTTCATGCCAAATTGTACGATATTCTTTTTGCTTGAAGTTCTTCGCTTCCTGGCATAATTGGCAGGGACTTCCAGAATCTTTTTGTTTACATTCTTCCGTTCATGGTGTTTCAAAGGAGTTGCGTGTCTAAAGATTGGATCCATACTCCTACAACAAACCAAGGATAAGGATTTAATGACGTTCTTTTGACAAATAAACAGCAAATTTATCAAGTATCTTGGAGGATCAATAGTTCGAAGAACAAATGGCATTTAATGAATCTGATGTTGGTCCAAAATCTTGAGGGACAATATGGTAAATAGCTATGATTTGTGTAAGTAAAGCAAAAATAGAAAGTGAAGTATAATTTTCGCATTTATAAAATTGAAAGCTATTCAACAATTAAAACATTCAAAATGTGCATACATAATAATTATGTTACTGCAACAGGTAGCAGTTACTGGTTCCTCATGATACTTCCATTAATCCTTTAATTATCTGACATTCTGATCTGACACCTGTATAAACACACATGACAGGGGTACCAGTAGACTAAGTCTGTCTAACATCAGTAGGACATAGTGAGAGCACACCAACAACAAAACCATCGGACAAAATGGCGAACGCTACACTGAAGTTAAACTGTTCACCAAACAAATGACAAGGTTGTAATGTAAATAAAGTTCATGAGGAATACCATTATAATATGGTATAAAAGATTTAACTATTAAACCTCGAATACTATTATGATATGGTATAAAATATTTAACTATTATCCCTTGAATACCATTATAATATGGCATAAAATATTTAACTATTATTGATGCTGTAAATCTAAGTACGACTGGTACAATAGATTTACAACATCACAGCTAACGGACGTGACCAGTACACCAAGGCTATCTAAGTACGACTGGTGTATACCATATTATAACGGTATTCGAGGAATAATAGTTAAATCTTGTATACCATATTATCATGGTATTCGAGGTATAATACTTTAATATTTTATACCATATCATAATGGTATTCGAGATTTAATAGTTAAATCTTTTATACCATATTATAATGGAATTCGAGGTATAATAGTTAAACCTTGTATACCATATTATAACGGTATTCGAGGAATAATAGTTAAATATTTTATTCCATATCATAATGGTATTCGAGGTTTTATAGTTAAATCTTTTATACCATATTACAATGGTATTCGAGGTATAATAGCTAACTCTTGTATACCATATTATAATGGTATACAAGATTTAACTATTATACCTCAAATACCATTATAATATGGTATAAAATATTTAACTATTATACCTCGAATACCGTTATAATATGGTATACAAGATTTAGCTATTATACCTCGAATACCATTGTAATATGGTATAAAAGATTTAACTATTAAACCTCGAATACCATTATGATATGGTATAAAATATTTAACTATTATACCTCGAATACCATTATAATATGGTATACAAGATTTAACTATTATACCTCGAATACGAAGGTATGGTGTATCCAAATCTATCCATCACTCGTTTCATCACGTCATCACAACAACCTGAAAGTCAAAGGGATACAACTTAACAAACAGGTATAAGTGTTTATACACCATTTATACACCAAACTACACAGTTAAGTACTGGAGAAATATTCTTTATATGGTACTAGACCTATTAGTCACATGTACAGTAACAGTTTATAATCATCACCACATGAGAGCGCTTCCACCAAAACAGGAATAATAGTCAAAATACAGTTTCCTGAGGAGACGACACTTGAATCAATATGGCTATATTTTACCCCTTTTGGCCCCATCAGAGGTCAGTAAATGAAGTTGGAAAACGTCAGTAAATCTTCCTGAATTTGTTTTCCAGTCACAGGTCATGAAAATGTGTACATCAAACTGAACAAACGTTATTACATGTAATGCCAATTACACATTTTTCTGTATATCACTTCAGTAAATACCCACGACTGATTCAGTTGGTTTCTCTCTGATGATTTTACACACACATAGAAGATGGCTGTTGTAAAATAACAGGTTATACAGTTTTAACAGACTGTACTTGTACACTGTGTAAGTATGCTGTAATCATGTATCCCATTGCTATTGGTGTACATATACATAGGCCTGTTACAAAATAACAGGTTATACAGTTTAACAGACTGTACTTGTACACTGTGTAAGTATGCTGTAATCATGTATCCCATTGCTATTGGTATACATATACATAGACCTGTTGTAAAATAACAGGTGATACAGTTTAACAGACTGTACTTGTACCCTGTGTAAGTATGCTGTAATCATGTGTCACATTGCTATTGGTATACATATACATAGGCCTGTTGTAAAATAACAGGTTATACAGTTTAACAGACTGTACTTGTAC